CATGAGCTCATTTTTGTGTCCCTCTCAGGGTACCATGAAGGCGCCTTGCTAACCGTTGTTAGAGGACGTGTCCTCCTGACGCTGCCTTCTTCTCCCACCAGCCCAGCATGAAGGCAGCTGGATTCATCTTTGGCTTTTCGACTCAAAAGCAGCCCTTTGCCACCTTGTGACTCTCAGCAGCTTACAAAACAAAAACGTCCCCAACACAATAAAATAAACAAAATTTGTTAAACAAAAACATTTTGGGAATTGGGCAGATCTGTGTTTGCATTTTATTATTTAAAGTAAAATAGTTCATATCACCTAGACTTTTTTTGTAAGTACACACTTTCATTTCTTTGGCCAGTCCAAAGAAAATTGTATTTTGTGCTTCCAGAACGTCAGCATGAAAATGGAAGAGGGTGATATCCAGCTTCTGGACGGACCCACAAATGGCAGAAATAGAATAATGGAATAACAGAGTTGAAAGGGACCTTGGAGGTCTTCCAGTCTGACCCCCTGCTCAAACAAGAGGCCCTAAACCATTCAGGACAAGTGACTCTCCAGTCTCCTCTTAAATGTTTCCAGTGACGGAGCCCCCACGACTTCTGAAGGGAAGCCATTCCTCTCATGAATTGTCCTCCCTGTCAGGAAATTTCTCCTCAGTTCTAGGTTGCTTCTCTCCTGGTTTAGTTTCCACCCATGGCTTCTTGTCCTGCCCTCAGGTGCTTTGGAGAATAGCTTGACTGCCTCTTCTTTGTGGCAGCCCCTGAGATATTGGAACATATCATGTCACCCCCAGTCCTTCTTTTCATTCAACTAGAAATGCCCAATTCCTGCAACTGCTCTTCATAGATTTTAGCCTCCAGGCTCCTAATTATCTTTGTTGCCCTTCTCTGCCCTTTTTCCAGAGTCTCAACATCTTTTCTATATCGTGGCAAACAAAACTGCATGAAGAATTCCATGGATGGTCTTCCCAAGGCATTATAAATTGGTATTGCTTGGGTGGCGGGAGAAAGCAGGTTTGAGGAGGGAAGTTTAAATTTAAATTTCTCTTGCACAAAATTCAGGATTTCCATTGAATAGCAATCATTCCACTTGTGAATTTGGTGCTTGCTATAAACAACAACAAAAATAAAAGGAATATTTTATTTTGCCTGGGATATCAGCATAATAATTACATTTGAATATTTCTTGTATCTTGGTGACAATCATCAATAAAAAAAATTGAATTTGAATTTTGCAATTTTGGAAGTCCAGTGTACGTTAAGGACACTTCTGAGCATATACAGAACTCTTTGAAAGAGGGCTTTTTTCCTTGGGTTTTATGCTGAGCCTCAGGAATTCACCTATCAGATCATAAAATAAGGTGCAACTTCTTTCTTAGAGCAGCAACACACAGTGACCTTTTGACCTTTAAAGCAGGAAACCCTGTTAGTCTCTGATGGGAAATAAAACTCAGACTTCTTAGCCTCTTTTCTGACTCCTGATGCATCAGTCCAGCCACTCTCTGCATTTCCTGAAGTCGGCTGCACTTCATCCATTTCAGTCAGAATTTTCCTTCACAAAAGGGGCAACCAGACTCCTCCTGATTCTTGTACTTTAGGAATTGTGAACAAAAGGGAATCTGTTTCTGGTGCAGTGGGAAAGAAACGGGGAAGGCCTAAGAGAGGGCATTTCATCAGGATCGGCCAACTCTTGTGATGGGATTCTGTAGTTTCCATCACCTGAAGTCAGTTCTGTGGTCTGGTCCCTGCAGCTGCACCAACCTCAAACACTGGAAAAACCAATGGATGAAAGCTCAGGTATGCTCACACCTGGACACATCTGGGACCAGATTCCTCTCCCACCACCTCCCAGCCTGCCAAAGAGCCCAGCCTTCCCCTCCCTGCAGCCTCTCACCTTCCAGGGCCAGGTCCAGAGGCTTCGGCAGGCCGTCGTGCTCCACGTGGCACCGATAGCGGCCCCTCTCTTTGGGGTCGATCCGGATGCTGAGCCAGTAGTGGTAGGTCCCATCCGCGTTGGGGGCCACAGACTTATGGAGGGTGTCCTGCAGCCAGACCTCCCCGTCCCTCGTCCAGAAGGCATCGATCTCCCTGGGGTAGAAGCCGTGGACCTGGCAGATGTGCGTCTCCATCCCATCCTCCACCTCTGTCTTGCCTCTCTCCACCGTCGCCTCTGGGGGCTCTGCAGAAACGGCACCCCCAGAATTAACTCTCAGCCCCTCCAGAGCTTGGAAGGCGGGTGAGATACTTAGAGAGGCAGGAAAGTCTCCCAGCACTTAATTTTAACCCCATGATTTAAACTTCACACCTGTAGCATCTCCAAGAGTTTTGGGAAATGCTCCAAATCTGGAAAATGCTCAACCACAAGAACTCTTGATTTTCCCAAATTGAGGGTCCAAGGAAATTCCTCTCTGACTGCTTTGAACTCTGACTGATCTTGGGCTGCTCCCTTCAAGGGAGGGAGAGTGGAGATGGTCTTTTAAGTTCCCTTTCAAGACAACCACAACAACACAGAAGTTGCTCCCTACTTGTTGGTTCCTCTTCTTCTCCCCAGAATCTGAGGCTGCTCCAGGCCTCTTTCCAAGGGACACAACCACAATGTTATGAGCAAGAGAGCCAGAATCAAAGCAAAAAGGGGCTCAGGGCTTTTGGAATTTCTCACTGATCTATTTGGAAAACAGATTTTGTCTCTCAAAAGGAGGGGGAGGGCAGAGGGAGGAGATGCCAATGGAAGAGAGAGAAGGTCCTCCCTGGCAGGGAGGGGCTGTTGGCAATCTGGGGGGGGTGGATTCCCCCATTGATCCTAATCTCAACCAGCTGATCCTGGAGGGATCAAAGAGCCAAGAGGGGGAGGGGTGGTCTAGATGGTGAATTAATAACAAATGACAGGAAAAGGTTATAATGTGACCCCCCTGTGGGGTGAGGGGGTGTTCCTGAAGGTGGGGAGGGGGCCGTTTTGAGGAAAGAGTCACTAAGACAGAATTGAGGGAACCTGTTTGAGGTTTAAGAGAAAGATCTACACAAACTATGGGGGATCCCCCCACCCTGGAAAGAGAACCCCTCATCCATGGGCTTCTTTGCCCAAGTGGGGGCTCTGATGATGTCTTATGAAGGGCAGAAGTGGAGCCCCCACAATGGTGGGTGTTAGATCTGAGGTGGATCGGGTCGAAGGAGACACGAGACCATTCTGGTGAGTTCAGCTCTTTATTTAGAATAAGAATAGTCTGAAGAATACAAGCCGCGGCAGCCCTTCATATAGGGCTGGCTCGCGGCTCAGCGGCCAATGGCAGCGCTTTGAATCTCCCACGATCGACACAGCCAATCGCGGTTGATTCTTAGCGCTCCAATCACGGCCGGGGCTTCGACCAATCAGGTTGCTGTCCGTCTGGACCAATCAGTTGCGAGGGTTTGGAGTATGCTAATACAGCACACCCCTCCCCTCTTGGTTTCGTCTGTCGGTGCGTCGTGACATAGTCGCGCAGGTAGGCAGGGCTTCGTACCTGTCTAGTTGGCCTGCGCAGATCAGTTCTCGTTTGGTTTTCGACCGGTTCGGAGGCCTTCTCTGCCGCTCTGGTTCCCTGGGATGGAACCGCCTGGAAAGTCGGGCCGGGCCTTTCCTGGTAGCTCTCTCCCGGTCTACCCGGGCTGGTTGAGCTGCCGTCTCGGCTGTTCCCGCGGAATCTTTCCGGGCTGGTTGTGCCGGCCTGGCTGCTCCTCCCTGGTGACGATTCTGGGGTTGCCTGTTCGGTTGGTCCCGCGTCTTCTGGTGAGTAGGACCGGTTTATTTGTGGGTTATTTGTTCCGGGTGGGGGTTGTTCTGTTTGCGCTAGGGGGTTCCCTTTTTCTTTAATGCTTTCCGTCCCCCCCCTTCTAGTTTCTTGGTCGGTTGTATGGTTGTTAGTTATTCTGGACCTTAGTTGGTTAATGTGCCGTTTCCAGTGTTTCCCGTCGCTTGTTTCTAGCCGGTATGATACGGGGCCGGTTATTTGGGTGATTGTCGCTGGTATCCAGAGTGGTTACCCCGAGAGGTTTTTTGCGTATACGGCATCACCTATGTTGAATTTTCTGTGCTTGCTGGAGGAACCCGGAGGTTTGTCAGGGGTGTATGTGGGGTGCATTCTATCTAGTGTTGATCGTAGCTTTCTGCCCATCATTAGTTCTGCTGGGCTTCTATTTGTGGTTGCGCTCGGTGTAATGTGTTGGATGAGGAGCATTTTATTAATTTTATCCTGCATGTTGGTTGTTTCTATTTTCTGTATGGCTTTTTTTGTGTATTGGACCATGCGTTCCGCTCGTCCGTTTGCCACCAGGTTTGCCGGCGCGGTTAATGCATGGCGTATGCCCAGGCCTGCCAGAAATTGTTCAAACGCTAGTGCGGTGAACTGGGGGCCGTTGTCAGACACTATTATATCTGGCAGGCCGTGTGTGGCAAAGAGTTTGCCCAGTTTTCTTATCACCGCCTCCGTTGTGGTTGATTTCATGGTGCTTACCTCCAGCCAGTTGGAGTAAGCATCTACTGTGATGAGGTACATGTGCCCCTTGGTCGGCCCCGCGAAGTCTATGTGAATCCGAGACCACGGTCCTCTTGGTGTTTCCCATTCCTGTATTGGGGCGGCGGGAGGGCTGGGTCTGGTCTCTTGGCATTGTTTGCATTTGGCTACCCAGGTTTCGATTTGTTTGTCCATGCCTGGCCACCATGCATAGCTTCTGGCCAGGCTTTTCATCTTGACCATCCCTGGGTGCCCCTCATGCAGCATCCCCAATACCCTTTCTTGTAATGTCTCTGGGATTACCACTCTGTCCCCCCAAAATATACAGGCCTTCTCGGTAAAAAGTTCAGTTTGTCTGTTTCTGAAGGGTCTGAATAGTTCGTCCCTGTCCCCTTCCGGCCATCCTTTTCCAACCCAGCTTAGGACTCGTGCCAGCCGCTTGTCTTTATTTGTTTCTCTGGCAATGTCTGGCGCGGTCACCAGTGGGTTGAGCATTGTCTCTATTTGAAATACCTCTGTTGTGGGTGCCGGGTCGTCTTCCAGGTCGGGCAAGGGTGAACGGCTCAGGGCGTCTGCGTGGGTGATGTCCTTTCCGGGTCGGTGAATCAGCTGGTAGCTGTAGGCTGACAGGAACTCAGACCACCTTGTCATCCTTGGTGATAGAATGTTCGGTGTGGCCTTATTTCCTGCCAGGATCCCTAGCAGTGGCTTGTGGTCCGTAATGATTGTAAAAGTCCTACCGTAAAGGTATTCGTGGAATTTCTTGACGCCGGCGACGACTGCTAGGGCCTCCTTGTCGAGCTGGCTGTAGTTCCGCTCCGGTTTTGAAAGCGTCCTTGATGAGAAGGCGATGGGTGCTTCCCTCCCGTCTGGTAGCTGGTGGCTGAGGATGGCACCGATCCCAAAAGGTGATGCGTCGCACGTTACCGTCAATGGCAGGGTCTCGCTGTACTGGATTAGTACCGCGTCAGATGTTAGTAGTTTCTTTGTGTTGTTGAACGCGCTCTCCTCCCGTGCTCCCCAGGTCCAGGTGGCTGTTTTATCTAACAGCCTATGCAACGGTTCCGCCACGGTTGTCTTTTGAGATAGGAAGACATTGTAAAAGTTTAACAGTCCCAAGAAAGCCTGCAGTTCCGTTTTGTTTTTGGGTCGTGGCGCTTCCCTGATGGCTCTTAGTTTCTTCTCCGTGGGGTGAATCCCTTGTTTGTCTAGGAGGTACCCTAGGAATTCGACCCTCTCAGCCCTTAGCTGGCACTTCCCTTTCTTGACTTTGAGCCCCGAGTCTCTGAATTTCTTCAGTACCTCCCTCAGCTGGGCTTCTAGTTGCCTTTCGTTTCTCGCGGCTACTAGTACGTCGTCAAAATAGGGCACCAACCCCTCTATTCCCTGAAGGAGTCTTTCCATGAGGCTTTGGAAGACCCCGGGTGCCACGCTGACTCCAAACTGGAGCCGGTTGCAACGGAAGGCCCCCCGGTGCGTTACGATGGTTTGGGCTTCGGCGGTTTCGGCGTCGACCGGCAGTTGCTGGTAGGCTTGTGCCAGGTCGAGTTTGGCAAAGATTTGGCCTCCCCTCAGTGAGTGCAGAAGGTGCTGCACTACGGGGACGGGGTATGCGCTTTGCTGGAGTGCGTGGTTTAGGGTGGCCTTATAGTCCCCACAAATTCTCACAGACCCATCTGGCTTGATGTGGGTGACTATGGGGGTCTCCCACCTGGCGTGATCAATTGGCTCCAGTACCCCTTGTGCGATGAGCTTATCTAGCTGCTCATCGATCTTGGGCTTGAGTGCAAATGGCACCCGTCTGGGTTTAAGGCGGATTGGTGCGATGTTCGGGTCTATGTTAAAAGAAATAGGGGACCCCCGGTACTTGCCTAGGCTGTCATCGAAAACTTCCCTGAAGTCCTCCACGAGCGCCGCTTCCCAGTCCGACTCTGCGGTGCGGTGGATTCCGGTTACTTCAATGCCTAGGGGCGCGAACCACTGTAGTCCCAATAGGCTCGGCCGATCCCGGTCGACGATTGTCAGGGGTAGCACTTCGGTGTGGTTCTTGAAGGTGACTTTAAAATGGCCTCTGCCAACTACAGGGATGCGGTTTCCCTGGTAGTCTTTGAGGGTTAGTGTTTGATCTTCCAATTCTTTTCTGCGGATTGAGGGAACCAGGCGCTTGATGGTGTGCCATGAGACCATGGAGAGGGAGGACCCGGAGTCCACCTCCATGTCGCATGGCTGGTCTTCTATTCCCACCGTCATGTATACCTTTCTGGTGTCTCTTGTGGAGGAATGGCCGACGATGACGGTCTGATGTGTTTCCTCCCTTTGCCTTGCCTCGTTGAGCCGCCTGTTCCGACCCTCCAACGGCTCCAATGGCTCTCCGTCTGGCGGTCTTGGTAGCTGGTGGGGGTGTTCTCTTGCCTGCGAGGGCTGCCGTCTCGTCGCCGCGGGCTGTAGCGTCGTTTATTTCTGCACACCTTGGCGATGTGCCCCCGTTTTTCGCACTGCCGGCAAATGGCATCGAGGAACCAGCAGTCCGAACGGGGATGATCGCCTCTGCAGCCGGCGCACTGGAACCTTGACTTACGACCTTGGGTTTCCCGTCGCCCTCGTGCTGCTTGCAAACGGTGGATTTCCTCCTCCTCGTCCTCGGTTCCTGAGAAGGAGTCAATGTCGCCGTGGTGTGTGGTTGCATCCCGGTGGTCGATCTCGGGTCGCTTCTCAGGGTTCGGCGTCGTTTCGTTGGTCGCTGCTCGTGGCGTGATGCTCGATTGCCGCATCCGAGCCACCAATTTCTTGGCCGCTTCAGCCGCGGATACCTCGGTGAGCGCGTCGGCGAGGGAGATGTCGCCCTTCGCCATGATGCGGCTCTGGAGGATGGGGTCTTGGAGTCCCAGGACGACGCAGTCTCGCAGGGCCTCGTCCAGGTCGGCGAACTCGCACAGGCCGCCCAAATCTCGTAGGGCCGCTATGAAGTCGCCAAGCCCTTCGCCCTCGCGCTGGTCCCGCCTGTAGAACTCATGCCGCCGGATGAGGATGGGCACAACGGGGGCGTAGTGGCTTCGCAGCAGAGGCTCGAGTTCGCCCCACTCCATGGTCTTGACGTCCTCTGGCTTGGCCAAGGCTTTGGCCATCTTAAACACTGCCGGCCCGCAGTGTGCGAAGAATACGGCCCGCTTCTTGTGACCGTTGGCATCTTTAAGATTGCTACACTCGAGGAACATCTGGAACCTATCGGTATAGGATTCCCAGTCCTCGGTAGCGGGGTTGAAGGGTGCGGGTGGCGAGTTGATGCCGGCCATGCTGCTTGCTGCTGTGTGCCGCCTCGCCACGTGCTGGGTGGTCTCTTTGTCTCACGATCCCACCCTCGTCGCCAGTGTTAGATCTGAGGTGGATCGGGTCGAAGGAGACACGAGACCATTCTGGTGAGTTCAGCTCTTTATTTAGAATAGGAATAGTCTGAAGAATACAAGCCGCGGCAGCCCTTCATGTAGGGCTGGCTCGCGGCTCGGCGGCCAATGGCAGCGCTTTGAATCTCCCGCGATCGACACAGCCGATCGCGGTTGATTCTTAGCGCTCCAATCACGGCCGGGGCTTCGACCAATCAGGTCGCTGTCCGTCTGGACCAATCAGTTGCGAGGGTTTGGAGTATGCTAATACAGCACAGTGGGCACTGGAGGTGCCCCAATCAGGTGCAAGACTGGGAGGGAGCCCCCTGTGGGATGTGGGAGGAAGGAGAGTTCATGGGGGGAAATTAAGGGAGCCCATCACTCTTGACTACAGTTTGGCTAATGGGGGTTTCACTGAATAGCCCCAAATGGTTGCCTCATTGTGGGCAGTGAACAGGACACCCTGAAGGGCTTTTCCTGCCAGGGAGAGGCTGCATTTCCTGGTCCACTGAATGGCTGCCTGGCAATGGGAACCAAACAGGGCTTCCCGTGTCCTTCAAGAGGGGCTGGAAGGGGAGGAGGAGGATTCCCACCAGGGCAAACAGGCTCCAGACAAGGGACCCAAAGGGGCTGAATGTGTGAGAGAAATCCGGCCATAAAGGAGGAAAGTCCAGCCTGGATCCAGATGCTCACCTGTCCTCAGCAGCGTCTTCTTCCCGTAGGACAGGTGCTTCTCCAGCCACTCAATGCAGGTTTCCTCCAGGTAGGCTTTGTTTCTCTGATTCAATCCTTGATCAGCATCCCGTTTCCTCTTGCTGATCTGGGCCTGGGGGACGGGAGCCACCCAGGTGAGGGTCTCCTTGTCGAAGGTGAGGAAGGTCTTCCCTTCATAGCCAAACTGCTCAAACCCTGCTTTGCTCCCGTCTCTCTGGAGTTCACAGCCATACATCCACTGCAACGTGTGAAGGCCTAAAAGACAGACAGGGGGATGGTTCAGGGGTCTCCATCAAGATAGTCAGAGACCCTCCCTCCCTGCAGAGACCTTGACACAGGCACTGACACCCCCATTTCCTCCCTAGAGTTCAAGGGAAAGAAAGCCCCCATCACTAGCCACCCTTCTCCCCTCCCTCGACCTCCCTCCCTGCATTTCCCCCCCAGGATGGAGCCCCTGAACCTCCCCAGGAAAAAGGAAAAGCTGGAAAAGACAGCAGAGGATCCCAAGGGAGACCCAGAAAAGGGGGAGTCACAGAATAAACGGAGGGACTGAGACATTTCCATCTTTCCTTCTGCTCTTCCTCTGCAGGGGAGACTCTTGGGGGGAAAGGAAGGGATCCCAGAGAGAGAGAAAAGTTGCCTGAATCTGCAGCTGCAAAGAGGGACTGAGAATCTCATGGCCTCAAAGAGGATCTGGTCGATCTACACATATTGATTAAAATAAAAGAATAAACATATAAAAAAAAGACTTTTTAAATGGTGTGGAGGCTGCTTTTCCCTTTCAAGGGACCCCCCCTTCCCCCCTCTCTGGTTCCTGGGGAGGGGAATATGGGGCCAGAGGAGCCACCAGACCCATCACTCACCTTCGCTCTGATTGTAGCGAATCCTCAGAGTCTCCAGGTGTTCTCTGAACGTATCCTCAGTGCTACGAGCTATCTTGGTCTCTGTCTCCCAGTACTGGGGATCCTCCTTCCCCACATACTTCTCCATCCAGGAGACTCGAGGCTTCATCCTCTCGCTGTGGCTGTCGTAGTGAACAAAGACCTGACCATCCACATACCCCTCAATGACAAAGTGGGGCAGCCCCTGACTGGGGTCTAAGATGGAGGTGTAGAAATACTTCATGGAGTGGGAGGAGGCGCCTGGAAGGGACCCAGAGGGGAAGAGTTAGGGGGCTTCAGTCAAGGGCCCTGATCCCATGGAGGCTCCCACCTGAGGCTCTGAGGAGAATGAAGGAAGAGGAACAAGAGATGGAGCGACTGAGAGGGAAAGAAGCAGCTTCTGGAGGGCCTGAAGGATTGGAGGGCAGGGAAGGTCTTCAGCTGCCCCCAATTGTGCCCTCCCCTCTTCCATCAAGGCCTCCCACAAACCCCCTTCTGGGTTGCTCAGTCTCTGCCCCAAGGAGGCTGCAGTGGCCCCACAGGGAAAAGGGCGAATTCCACCCACAGAAGCTCAAAAGCAGCAGGAAACCCCTTAGGGGAAACCCAAAAGTGGGAAGGGAAAGCGAAGGGAGCAGCAATGAAGCCACGGAGACCCCAGATCTTCCTCCGGTCCCCCTTCCCATCGCTGGGAAATCCCCCCTCCCCTCCCAGAGTTCAGCCGTCTGAGCAGGAACCGGCCTTGAACCCGGGACTCAGAGGGGCTCCCCCTCATTCCACAGAGAATTTCACTGGGATCATCCCAAAATTGCTTCATTTCAGCAACCCAGTTAGGGCCCTGAAACCATCATCCACGGACGCTTTCCATTGGACCAGGTTTCCTCTGAATCTCACCCTTCACTTTCTGCAGAAGCCGCTCTGAAACCTGTCCTCCTCTGGGGCTGATCCTGCACTTTGTCAGGCAGAAATTGTTATGAACTAATAAAAACTATTTAATAAAAACTTGTCAACCTTAAGAGAAAAGCAGGCTCGTGATCCTGCACCTTTGATTGGCCCATGGATAGCGAGCTGGGATTGGTCCTTACGGAGCAGCCTGATTGGCTATTAGCTGAACATCTCTCATTGGGTACAATTTAAACGGTTGAACGCAAATCATTGGTTAACGGGTCAGCAGCCAGCTCTATAAAAGAGCTGCTGCTGCCCAGGGTTTTTGCTCTGTTCCTAATCGTTAATAAAGAGTTGAAGTTCACTAGTTCTCTGCCTCGTCTCCGTTCCTTCCGCCCATGCTCAGAACTTAACACTGGCGACGAAGGTGGGATGCGGAGACCATAGAGCTGACTGAACACTACAGAGCGCCAAACAGAGCACGTGGCTGAACGTGCACCAACAACGGCAATATGGCCAGCGGTGCTATACCACCCGCTCCATTTGACCCGGCAAACGAAGACTGGGACTCGTATATGGATCGGTTCCAGATGTTTCTGGAGACCAATAACTTAAAGGACGCTACGACCGGCAAGAAGCGAGCAATATTCCTGACCCATTGCGGGCCTGCCGTATTTAAGATGGCGAAATCACTTGCAAAACCGACTGAGGTGAAAACGATGGATTGGGACACCCTCGCGCCCCTTCTACGGGCCCACTATGCACCCGCAGTGCCAACACTTGTCCGTAGGCATGAGTTTTACCAGAGGGGCCAACGGAAAAGTGAAAGTCTTGCAGACTTCATCGCTGACCTCCGTAACTTGGGTGGCCTCTGTGGGTTTTCAAACCTCGAAGAAGCCTTGTGAGACCGCATAGTTCTGGGATTAGATAACTACACGGTACAGAGCAAGATCATGGCCAAAGGGGACATCGATCTTGCCGATGCCATCGCAGACGCTACCGCAGCAGAAGCAACCAGGAAGTCGGCCACTCGAATGCGCCGCACCAACGCACCGCTCCGTCAACTCGCGAATGATACCTCGCCTCGCCCTGAGAGGCACTCAACAACGGCGCACCATGAGGACCTGGAATCCCTATCAGAAAGTGATGAGGAAGAGGTCAACCGACTCTGGTCCGAACGAGACCAACAAAACCAACGATTCCCGCGACAATGCGCGGGTTGTGGGGCAAACCACTCACGATCCGATTGCAAATTCCTCGACGCACTCTGCCGTTCCTGTGGAAAAAGAGGCCACATCGCAAAGGTCTGTAGAAGCAAGTGAGCGTCCAGCCCAAAGCGCAGGGAGAATAACTGCAGCCAATCTACAGGATTCCCTCCTGCGAATCGAAACCGCCAGAACCACCAATGGAACAACCACTCCTATAGAAATAAAGCACCTGCCACTTCAACGAGACGAGAAGAGGCACACCAAACCATTACCATCGGCCATGCTTCATCCTTAGATGCAAGAAAGATCCGAGTGAGGGTCGCCATCGAGAACCAACCTTGCGTGATGGAAGTCGACTCGGGGTCGTCTCTCTCGATGGTTTCCTGGAAGACCCTCAAACAACTAATCCCGGCCATCCATCATCAAGACCTCAGCCTCCAAAGGATCATACTCAAGGATTACCAGGGCAACAGAATCCCAGTCATTGGTTCCAGCCAAGTCCAAGTCTCCTTCAAAAATCGTACCGCATCACTACCGCTGACCGTCGTCGACCGTGACCAGCCTAGCTTACTAGGCCTACAATGGTTCGCCCCGCTCGGGATCGAGGTAGCCGGCGTCCACCGAGCCGAGAGCAACGACTGGGAGGAGTCTCTCGTCCAAGAATTCCAGGATGTTTTTTCAGAAGAGCTAGGCAAGTACAAGGGGACCCCAATATCGTTTAACCTTAATCCTGAAGTAGCTCCCATCCGCCTTAAGCCTCGTTGGGTGCCTTTTGCACTAAAACCAAAGATTGACGAGCAGCTCGATAAATTAATAGCCCAGGGTGTTTTAGAACCAACCGACCATGCCCGTTGGGAAACCCCAATTGTAACACCCATTAAACCAGATGGATCATTAAGAATTTGTGGGGATTATCGGGCCACCTTGAACCACGCACTTCAGCAGAGTGCTTACCAGTGGTTCAACACCTTCTCCACTCCCTGAGTGGTGGGAAGATATTCGCTAAATTGGATTTAGCACAAGCATACCAACAGTTGCCCGTAGATGCGGAAACTGTGGAAGCACAAACTATCGTTACGCATAGAGGCGCTTTTAAGTGCAATAGACTCCAATTCAGAGTAAGCGTAGCTCCGGGAATTTTTCAAAGTTTGATGGAGAGACTTCTACAAGGCATAAAAGGGGTCGTGCCATATTTTGATGATGTTTTAATCACCGCCCCTAATAGAGATATCTTAGAAAAGCGTCTCAGAATGGTTCTATGGAAATTTAAAGACGCCGGCCTGAAGGTTAAAAAAAATAAATGTCAACTGTGTACTCAGAGGGTGGAGTTCCTTGGATACCTTCTCGATAGTCAAGGAATCCATCCCACTGATAACAAGCTAAAAGCAATTAAAAACGCCCCAACACCTAAAAATAGAACAGACCTCCAAGCCTTCCTGGGGCTCATTAACTTTTACAACATCTTCTTGCCCCAGAAGGCGACCGTAGCTGAGCCCCTACACAGACTTCTCGATAAAAGAGCAACCTGGGTCTGGGGACATCGAGAGGAACGCGCCTTCCAACAAGTGAAAAATTTACTAACCTCCGACGCTGTATTGATGCAGTACAATGAGACTTTACCCTTAACTATTACATGCGACGCTTCACCGTTTGGAGTGGGTGCAATCTTAAGCCATGTACTACCAAACGGAAATTAAGCACCAATTGCGTTTTTCTCACGAACATTATCAAGGGCTGAAAGGAACTATAGCCAACTCGATAAAGAGGCCCTTGCTGTTGTATCTGCTGTGAAGCGCTTTCACAAATACATGTATGGACGAGCATTTACGATAATCACGGATCACAAACCATTGCTTGGTATTATAGCGGGAGACAAGCCAACCCCCTATATATTATCGCCAAGAATGACTCGTTGGTCTGAGTTCCTAGCTGCCTACAATTATCTGTTGCAACATCGCCCGGGGAAAGCCATTCCCCACGCTGACGCTTTAAGCCGTTCCCCACTTCCGGAAATCATCAACGACCCAGCTCCAACCCTCACGACGCTCCAAATCGAAACGCTGCACTCGCCGCCACTAACAGCGAGAGACATTGCCATCGAGACAAAACGGGATCCTGTCCTGGCACGAGTTCTCAGCTGGGTCGAACGAGGATGGCCAGCCGACCAACTCCACGACGACTTCGCGCCATTCAAGAATCGGCAGACAGAACTTTTCTCCCAGAAAGGCTACATTCTCTGGGGGGATAGAGTCGTCGTCCCAGAGAGGCTACAACAGACTGTTCTAAAAGTATTATACGATGGACATCCGGGCATCGTGCGCATGAAGGCGCTCGCACGAAGCTACGTGTGGTGGCCGGGCATCGATAAGCAGATCGCAGCCTGGGTAACCATGTGTCGGAAGTGCCAAGACGTTAGCAACGCCCCACCTAAAGCGACGCCAACCGAGTGGGAAACCCCTCGGGGTCCGGGGTCCCGCATCCACGTTGATTTTGCGGGACCCACCAAAGGACACACGTTTTTATTAACAGTTGACGCCTATTCAAACTGGCTAGAAATCCAGAAGATGAAGACAACCACAACGGAGTCAGTCATTAACAAATTAAATAAATTATTCGCAACGCATGGGTTACCAGACATTTTAGTTTCTGATAACGGTCCCCAGTTCACTGCCCTAGCATTTGAACAGTACCTAGCGGACCGGGGCATCCGCCATGCGCTAACCTCGCCAGCGCACCCTGCGAACAACGGAAGGGCGGAGCGAATGGTACAATTCGTCAAAAAAACCCTACATAAAATGGACTATGGGGACATCGACAACAAGCTCAACCGAATACTCCTGCTTCAACACATCACCCCACACAGCATCACGAATAAGACGCCTGCCGAACTACTAATGGGGCGGAGACTTCGCTCCCACCTCGATCGTCTACATCCTTCTTATTCACCAGAAAAACCTTTCGGATCTAGCGGGAAGTGCCGCAAATTCAAGGTAGGCGACTTGGTGTTTGCTAACCATTACCCAACCCACCGGCCCCAGATCCTACCGCCTACAGACTAATGACGGGAGAGCATGGAAACGCCATATAGATCAGCTTCGATCCAGATTGCCAACCACCTCCCGCGACTCCCCTAATTCGCAAACTGAGGGGGGAGGGGATATCGAGGAGACCGAAAACGAAATAGATG